GCCGGGATGGAGCGCACTCGGACTGTCGCGTCACACACAGTTGAGTGCAGTCTGAACGAGTTAGTACGGATCCCACAAGTTGTTACTTCAACTGCTACTTGATGGCAACGTACCAAAGGTTTCCGACTGGCTACGGAAACCCTAACAACAGGCTTTTTGTTCATTTTGCCGGAATGAACATGAATACATATCTGTGCATTTGTGAGAAGACAGCGGAAAACCTGGTGATATTATCTTGCCAAATGGCGGAGCAATATGACGCTACGGTTGATTTCACTTTGGTGTATGCGTTGGTTTATTTAATTCACACTGTGAGACATAACCATGCGCACTGAGACACCTTTATACTCCAAGTGTCCACTGTGCTGGTTAGCACATATTGCCTTCCTGAACAGGGTTTTTAGAGAGCGGTATCGCTCAAATATTAAACAAACACTTGTCTACGCGCAGTTTATTTTATGAGGTAGTGTTGAACACCTTAAAGAGAGTACCAAGGACTTTCTTGACACTATGTTGGGCGTCAATTGATCTCCACGCAATACCCTTCATGTAATTCAACATGCTCCCGGGTGACCTGTTGAATATGATGTGTTCAGATATCAGGTCAGGGTCAGTGCCTTCAGATAGGGGTCACAACTTTGACCCTCTGAAAGCGCCAAAATGAAGAGAGCTGTACACGCCAAGTTCACAGAAGGGCATTCTGGATACTAAACCTTCGGAGGGGGTGGTAGTGAACTGACCACTCAAGCGCGTGTAACAACAGGTGGAAGTGACTGGTGGCATACTGACATCCTCACACGCTGCCATCTGCGGGGAAAAAGCTAAGTAGAAGAACATAACACGTATGTAAAGCAAACGATAGTCTGCTGCTCGAAACAAGCCAAGTAGAAGAACATAACACGTACGTAAAGCAAACGATAGTCTGCTGCTCGAAACGAGCCAAGTAGAAGAACATAACACGTACGTAAAGCAAACGATAGTCTGCTGCTCGAAACAAGCCAAGTAGAAGAACATAACACGTACGTAAAGCAAACGATAGTCTGCTGCTCGAAACAAGCCAAGTAGAAGAACATAACACGTACGTAAAGCAAACGATAGTCTGCTGCTCGAAACAAGTCATCGCGTTGCAAAGTGAGCTAAATTACTTTTTTGCCTGTCGGAACCAGCCCAGGGTCTGCGCCGACCATAGCCGGTCAAGTCTGGCCTCGCTAGGGCCGTCCGTGGTAGATTTGTTACAATGTGTGGTTTACATTCCAGCAAGTTGGATATATTTTTTGACTTCACCAGATCCGAACAATATGTTGTGTAAAAACGAAACAGGGCTGCCCAAATCCAATCCATATAAATATAATACAAAGCGGTCGGGGTCACTGGAACCGACCCAGCAGAAAAGCCAGCCATAGCCAGCCAATAATCCGGTCTCGTTAGAGCCATCTCATCACAGCCAGTCCCAACTGAGTCATGGCGCAGTGGCAGACCAATCAGGATCAGTGCAGCTGCTAGCCATACCAGAGCCCGTTGAAGCAGATTTGTTTCTGCTTTCGTGATAGTTAACTAGTGACGATCTCGCTCGTGCTAGTCTTTCTCGCGAGTCAGAGAAAGAATATCTTGTTAGTCTGCATTCTCGGTTTTGTAGTAGCTTGCACTCATCAACACTCACACCACAATATCCACGTGCACAACCAACGGTAACTTTGCATCTTCAAGTCCAGAGAGCGCATGAGCATACGCGGTCACAAATACGCCTTGTAACCTTGTACGCCTTGTAACCTGCGTCCATCGGAAACGAGTCACGGTCACCTGGTTCGGAAACTATGCGATAATTAACCAATGAGAAGCGAGCATGACATTGTACAATGGTCGGCTGGGACAACGCGATCCCAGAACCATCTGATGCAACGAAATGCCGGTGAGGCGCTGCGGACGACTTTTTAAAGGAAGTATCGAATCGCATTACGCATTCTATGAATAGTTTATGTTCCGACGAAACAGATGGCATGTGGTGAATGATCTGTTTGTTTCATGCCAGGGCTTGAACAGAGGCGAGTCAAGTGACGACGCATGACCCACCGGACACTGCCTGGCTGACGCAACAGCGCGCCACCCGACCGAGGGTCAGTCACTCGATCGGCGAGTCCACCATATGCAGTGGGTGGTTATGTGTGGTTGATAGACGGCGGCTGGTATAGGGCCACAAAGCGGACTATTTTGATGATGACAAGAGGATTTCACTACACCAGCGCAGTTGCTGGTCCCGCTAGAGCAACATACCTTATAGGACAACGTGGCAGCTGGTCCCAACAGCGCCAGCGCAGCCCCAGACCTCAACCGAGCTGGTTGAATGGGTAATGCCCGGACCTGCTAACACCAGCGGAATGGTCCGAGCCTCCGGATCGCATTTAGCACACAGACTCACCTTAGTCAGCGCAGCGGCCGATCCGTAGAAACGCCCACTTCTGCTTCCTGACCGATGCCAATGACAAAAAGCAGGTCTCTCTTATGGGAGTGTGAAGGGTTTCTATGTTAGTTCTGCAATGCCTGCCAGAGGTAAGTTGAATTTTTAAGGCAGTGTCGGGTCGTCCATATAACTCTATTTTGTGACCCTTTAGCGACGTTGTATAACTCACACGTGAGATATTTTGACGAGTCATGAGGCAATCCGGTAGGTGTTTTTTTTTTCCAAAGCCACGACTGTGCAGAAACTCCGGGGCGAAAGGGATGAAATGATTCATTTTGCAGAATCAACACTCGTTGACATGGGCTTGGGTGGCCGTTTGAAAAGACCGCTACAACACTGAAACGCGCTATGGGCCGAAAATTATTTTATGATAGCATAACTGCGTTATGCCCAAAAATTGTTATCCAATTGCCTACAGCTATGCAAAATTTGGCGCGGCTGCAACCCACCGGTCAAAAATTATTCTGTAAAAACCTTTGGGGGTCAAACTGGCCCCTACCCGAGCACGTATTAAGGGTGAAAACTCCCAATAGGCTCCGTCAATATGCTGTTTCTGGAATCACTCAGGCAAATATGTTGTTTTTTAACACGCGCCCGGATGGCCGGCTAGATACGCTTCGCTTGGGTAGGGGTAAATTTAACCCATCCTCAGATCTCGGAAACTACAAAAGCTAGACACACCAAATTTACAGGGTGTCTTGACCTATACGAGAACTCACTTTAGTCAAAGTTTGAGCTTCCTAGATCATGACCTTTAGGTCCAATAAGGTCAAACAAGGCCAAATTCCAGCTTGGCCTCCAAGTACCCCAGAACCTAGGAAACTGTTTCTAAGCAAAAGATGACAAGCCCATTTGAGGTCAGTGACCTTGTTTGAACTTCTGATGGTCATGGTGACCAAAATCATACAAGACTGCTTTGAGTTTTGCCTTTGAATAAGCGGCAAAGATAACGCTAGGCTGTATGCTCCTAAAACAAAATGTCGACCGGAGGTATCTTAGGTCAATGACCTTTTCTGACCTCTAAGTAGTCAATGGAAGATGTATAATGTGGTTCCTGCTGTCAACAAATTCGAAATAAGCACCACAGCTGTCCCACACAGCAAACCCTAGACTAATAAATCAGGTTGGTTGTCACCTTGGTCTGACCTTCATACCTGTCCTTGGGTCAACGTAATTTGCTCATTCAATATTTGTGGTGCCTAGGAAAGCATCTCAGAGATGCAGGGCTTCGTCAAACATTCAGTTATTGTATCAGGTTGGACAATTCCCCAGAAATTGCCTTCCCTGAAGCCATGGCCTGACTTTGACCTGCCATAGGTCAGCGACCTTACAAGGTACATATAATTTTTTATGTCAAATAATCCGCTATTCAATTGTCTATAGCTATGAAAAATTTGGCGTGGCTACGCCACTCCGTTTGGAAACCATTCTGAAAGAACCTTCGGGGGTCAATTTGACCCCCACCCGAGCGCGTGTTAAATCATCGCGGCGATTGGGCTTCAGGGGTTTTATTGTGTCACCTTGGAGAGGATTTGCTCCCTCAAAAACTGTCTGAGCACAGGTGTGCCACGTGTCAGTTTCTAAAATCGGTGTGTGTGAGAGGAGGGGGGGGGGGGAGAGGACGGGGCCAATTAGGTTGACCTAACTTACCCGAAAGTCTTATTTTTTCCGGATTTCGGCCACTTAAGCTGACATACCCGATGTAAAAAAGGCATGTCATTGATTCCAAAATTGATGTCATCACCGTGGGCAATCGACCGAATAATCAGCTGGTTGCAGCAGTCTCATCTGTTGAGCTGTTCCGCAGCCTGGACCGCAAGGGGCCATCTGGAGCACCTTTTGTCGTCATGATTGGACGGGTGTGGAACCGCTAATAACTGCCGCTGCAGCTGATTCTGTTTTTCTATCCAATTGACAGTCGAGTGCCACCGCAGTCACGATTGTGTGACAAATACGTTTTCCACTGTTGGGAGAAATGCTGGTTGACATTTATTTAGCCCACGCTGTACTTCTAAAAGCTGCCACATAATGCGATGAATTGTTTTTTCATACTCATCCTGGTGTTATCATGCGCAAAACTCGTCCCACATTTGCAGGCTGGTCTACCATATGAAGGAGATGGCATGACAAAAACCACAAGTAGTTAAATGGTACCACTTGGTACAAAGTGCAGATGATACTTAAAACGATGCGTCTAGGTAATTCATGCAATAACAGTTAAGGTAATTTTCCTGCATTTCTTTGATTCGCTAGTCCCTTTTTCCTCACATGGGTTGGGGGATTGCTCAAACGAATATTGGAAGAGGGAGAGGGGGGGGGGGGGGGGTGGAGCACTTATCAGCGCTGGAGATGCGCAGGCCGTCCTCCTACGAATGTAAATTCAACGATATCAGTACCCGAGCAGGAAGTGTTTTCTAACTGCTGAGTCCAAATCATTAATGATTCGTTAATTTGCCACTTCCACGCCAGATTCAGCCGTGAAGCAAGCGCAACATCACAATCGCACGACATTGAAACGGACACCGAACGAGGTGATCCCCACCTGATACAGGTTGAACCAGCGCAGCCGCCATTTCGAGTTGTCGGAGGTGCGCTTGTAGAGGCTCCCGAACATATGCTGGGCGTAGCGTGCTTTCTCGGCCAGCATCAGCAGCTGATTGTCGTTGATACGGACGCTGCGCTGCATCTTGGGGGATAGCATGACGCCACTGGCCGCAGGGCAGGGTCGAGGCGACCGGGTCGGCACCACGCTGCCACCCAGTCGGTCGACCAGTCGGTGAAGGAAGCTGCGCCGCTGTACGCATGAAAAAAAAAACATATTAACATGTGGTCACACCTGACAGCGTTCCGTGTCTTGGACGGGCAAGGCAGGCCGAGCTGCCAGATCAGTCATCAGTGTGGCGGTAGCCGAGCTGCCAGTTCACAGTCATCAGCCTGGCGGTAGCCGAGCTGCCAGTACATAGTCATCAGCGTGGCGGTAGCCTAGTTTGGCTATTTGGTTATTTGGATTAGAGCCCTCTTGACCAAAAATGATCATTTCAGGGCTATGGGATGAAAGAGAATGAGTGGCGGTGGGGCATGGCTACATACATTTGGCGGGGGGGAGACAGGGGGGGGGGAGACAGCCGCCGAGCTTTAGCTCCCGCAGGGACCCCTCAGCGGGGTGCGCGCCGGGCGCCGGTCGGAGGCTCCTCCTCGAGGGGGTCTCTCCGCCCACTCGTGGCTGACGCATGCAGCTTGCCCCGGCCAAGCGGGGCGTCACCAGAATAAAGCAAGAAAGAGGATGAGAGGGCCGAGTGCGGTGGTGGCGATCAGGGCCGTGAGAAGGTACGGGACGGTCCTGCCCTCCCCTCCATAACAACCTCGATCTCGGGGTACCTGTGGTGTGATGTACAACCCACCCGAGCGGCCGTTGTGCGATAAACATGGCTAGATGGTGATTCTGACCGGTTCAAGGAGGCTCTGGCAGTCGCAAGGCACTTATTCGTCGCTGAGATCGGCGTTGGTTCGCAGGACACCACCCCGGACGGGGCGCTACTCTGTTTATAGTTCCTCATCACTCTCGGTAGTTTAGAGATCGGCACAGATGATATGGTCGCTGGGAGAATCGCGCAACGTACGAGGGCTGGCTGATCGAATTATTAAAAAAGCCTCACTTCGTATTTAATGCCTGGTGACGAGGTGCTCCACACACAGGAATGCCATGAGCGCCACTCTTGACGCGCGTGATATGTGAGCTGCTTTGCGATTACATTTCGTGCCAGTTTATTCTTTTTTAAGGAACGAGACCAAAAATCGTAATTGAGCCTCCCACGCGGACGAAACCGTTGGGTATTATTACGACTCGCCGAAGCACATCAATCGTCCGTGGCTTTTTCTGCGCGCGCGGTAACGAGGTGACCTTTCTGAGCTCCGAGGCACTTTCATCCCGAGCGGGTTTAAACGGGGAGAGCGGACACGGCAGACGCCCACTCGCCGACGGCGAGTGCGTGCGTCCCTTATCCCGCGGGAGTGCCAGTTCTGCGGCGAGACGTGCGTGCGCGGCTGCGGCTGTCAGACGCCAGAATGTTCGTGAATGTAACCGCACATATGTGGGTGGCGATGTATCGGGTGTGAACGTGTTAGGGCAGTAGATGCTGGTTAGTACAAAGTCCAGCACATATATTCCTGCATAATATTATAGATAGCTAGGTGTGCAATTGTATTTCATAACTTTAGTTTCCAGTAAAGACTTGACAACCTGTAATTGAAAGTAGAGTGGCCTAGATGCTACCATGGTAAATGTATTTCGGGTCTAGATGGACGTTACGCTGGAAAGTTTGTAAAATGCTGTCAACAAACTGAATACTGCATTTCACTGGTGAGTGATAAACACTCACTCTCGAGGATGCGCGCAGCTAGAAATATTGAGCACCATCAATATAATCGCTATTTGGCACTCTAACGTCGCCTAACAAGCATCCCTTGATATATTAAAAGCCTTTAATTCTACGTAAGAACTTCGAACTCAATTTAACGTATTCGGTAGGGAACTGGAGAAAAAAGTCTGGCCCAGCTTGGCCTCGAACGCACGCCCTTTCATCCATGGGCGGGTCGCGTCATCGACTGCGCTTCTGAAACCGGGCGGGGCGTCTCGAACGTCACAAAATTTACGGCTTACCACACAGGCAAACTTGATCGGGTTCGCTCTGTGTGTTTGGCTACTCCACACAACTTCAGGGCAAGATTATGAAACGCTCTTTATTTGTGTGCCGGGCTAATCGAAATCAGCAAGATATAAAACGATGTACAGTTCTGCGCACAGCGAGCCCTAAGCACGTGAAACTTAGAAAATGAGCGAGAAGGAAAAGCGCGCCGTGGAGTGGAAGTGCTGCCAATGCACTTCGGTGGGGGACGGTAATGAGAGAACTATCGAAGAGTACAGCGACCAAGCCGGCGTCGTTGAGTGTGGCTAATGCTGCTCGGGGAATGATTCATGCGTGTTACGATATGAAAAGCAGCACTTCCGTCTCGGCTTTACCTCGCTTCCTCACGTGCGAGACTAGTGTTCAGTGAAAGTTTTTGATGGCGCTCAAGATCAAAAGAACTCGTAAGCGCGAGTTGGCTCCTTCCCCCTACACTGGATGCCACGTTGCCCACACGCTGAAACTGGTCGTAATACCTTCATTGACTACTCGTTCAATTTTCTTTGGTCTTGCTAGGACGTGCTGCGCAGGATCACGTTTACTTTGTGATAGTTCGTTTACTTTAAAGAAAGTTCGTTCACTTTAACGCTCTTTTACTTTAACGATCACGTTTACTGAGATGTGCTGCACAGAATCACGTTCACTCTGTGATGTGACTGCGACAAGACATACGGGCAGCTCGAGTTGAGTTCCAAGCGTTGCACATCCGGTCAAGAGTCCAATTCGATACCCTTTGGGATAAATCAGCCACCAGGCTGCACGCAGCTGGTTGCCTCCCAGCTTAAACTATTTATTTATTCATCACCCATTATAGGTAAAGGTCGCGTGATATCGCAATCATAGCCGCCCGTCTCATGCATTCCTAATTTGCATATTGATAAGCGTGCTCCAGTCTTCTATAGTAGCAATCGTACTCCGGTCTTCTATGGTATCGATGTTTTTGTGACAACCTGCATGTTTTTCGCGTGTATTCTGTTTAGTTACGAAGTTCGTGTTTTCACGTCTTCCTTTCAGGGTTCACATGTAAGCGTTGTGATCAAGCACCCAGCGCGAGGCTAGCTCGAGAAATGTTGTTATCTTTTATAAATTTACGTTTTTATTGTGGAAGAGTTTCAGAGCTGGTTAGAACGTGACGCAGACCGAGTATGTGGTTGTATTCGGTATCCCTACCGTAATAAAATGTAATAATGTAAATTGGGTATTGAAACTCAGTTCAATGAAATAATACTCCATTCGGTTGGTTGTTTTAGCCCGAAGTCACGCTATCATCAATGAAACGAAAGCATTCGAAGCTTAAACCAAATATTAGCCGAATATCTTCGAAACAAAAATGAGTGACACTCTCTTCGCTCGGTGTAAAATCTAGACCATTGTAGAATTTTAACGTACATGAGAAAGCCAGATCAAAATCATTATCAATCTGTCATCGTCAGTCTCGGAATAATTCCTTCTCACCCCCGCGAATGGGGAATTTTGGGGAGAAATATGACGTCCGTGGCAACAGCTCAAAGCAAACTTGATCGCCCGCACGCTCGTGGGGGTCGCATGACCAAAGCAGGAGGTCAGTGCGTGCTTCAATCATCAAGATACGTATTATCACTAGTACACTTATTTACGGCAAGAATATATATGCGGTCTTTTTATACAGTTTGGTCCTCTTCGGATATGTAGTAGTACTTTTATTTTCGAGCCAGGCTTAAAAATTGCGGAATATCATGTATTAGATAGATGACAACACATGCCAGGAGTATCAAGCGTTCCCTCTTCGTGCCTTCAGTCTTTGTTTGACAGAGTGACAAAGCACAGTTATACCTAGGTGACCGAATTTCATAGTCCCTGGTCTACCAAATGCGCCGTTTCAGGAGATAGAAGTGCTTGCATAGCTGGGAGCGTTTTGTGCAGAACATAACAAATGACGTAGTAACACAATTTGACATGACACTGTGACTATAACACGACCCATCTTGATCTGTAAAATGTCCGTCACCAGTCACTGCTGGCATGTCAAATATCCATCATCAGTGCACCCTAAGCTGTGGAAGATCCGGCACCACTCCACGCTGATATGGCGTACATCTTTTATTTGCCAGCTCGGACCTTCCAAACTTATGTCGGCGCTCTCCCTGCCTCGCCAAAACACCCACTGTCAGTCGCCAGCAGTTTGTCCATCGTTCGTCGCCAGTGCAGACGAGCCTGTCACATACAAATCATGCTACGCGGGAAAATCGCAGGCAGCAGGCCATGACGTCAACAGCACCATGACAAATGCAAAAGTGGCGTTGTCTGTCGGCACGCCTCAGAGACGGCTGTCCGAGCCGGGGGTGGTTGTCGAGTGACAAAGCCTGCTCAGCTCACATCGATTACCCCCCCCCCCCCCTGCCGGGCTGTCAGGGATCGCACCGCCCCCGCCTGGGCAGCACCGAACAAATGCGGGCCGACACGGCAGCCAGACTAGGTCAATATTGTTCGGAAGCGATCGAGGCTGCCTCGTTCCTGGCTACTCGATACGCTGCTGGGCACAGCTGTACGCCAAGCGGAGCAATGCGTCTGGAGCTTGAAGCGTGATGAGTTCGCACTGCCCTGAAAGGATCAGTTGCTGCAATTTACTTGTATATATATATATATATATATATATATATATATATATATATCACTCTCTCCTTCCCTCCTTCTCTCTTTCTCTACCTTTGCGTGCGCGTGCGCGTGTGTGTGTACGTTGTGCGTGTGCGTGTGCGTGTGCGTGTGCGTGTGCGTGTGCGTGTGCGTGCGTGTGTGTGTGTGTGTGTGTGTGTGTGTGTGTGTGTGTGTGTGTGTGTGTGTGTGTGTGTGTGTGTGTGTGTGTGTGTGTGTGTGTGTGTGTGTGTAAGAAACGGCAGAAAAATAGCCATATTTGTCTTGATGCAAGACAAACGTGTTCAATTATCAGAGGCGTACGTGTACGTGTTTAGGAGGTTTCACTCGTCAGTATGTAACAAATAAGTAGCCATGGAGGGCGACAATTCTAGCATAATCATCAAACCAAGAAGGGTTTATCCGACTAAGCAGAGTCCCCGATTTCTAAAGGCTTCTTGGGCTACGAGAAGCAAAAGTACGGGGGGGGGGCACTCGG